GAATCCCAAGGTCGTTTACGCTGTCAATGAGCAGGCTCGAGTGGTATTAAGAATTTAACCTCCTCCATTTTGGGTAGGTTGTTGCGCAAGTGACATACCAGGTAGTACGATCTCAGCGTCTGTAATCATGTCACTCATTCATCTCTCGGTTATCATGATGAGGTCCCAACACATTGAGGTTCGATGAGATCGATGCTTGGCCAATTGACTTAGGCATTGCATGCTTGTATACAAACAACTGAGAGCAACGGAGGCCAGAAGTTTATCAGCACACACGCAAAGGTTTCCCGTGAATTTACGCCAATCCATGTGGGGCCACTTGACAATGGTTTTTTGGGTATATTTTATTGCTTGTACCTCAGGGCCTTTTCGATCTGTTGCACAGAGCACCCACAACTTAATCCTTTAGAGGTAAATTAAGGCCGATTGTCTGTCCCTTCCTCTCTGGACGGCTGGAGAGTTGCACTGAGCACCTGTTCAGAAACGTAGACAGCGGGGCTAGCGACAACTTCTCGCTGGTTTTGTGTTCCCTCAGCCAATGTTGGCCTGGCTTCGACCACCTACCGAGGTAGCTCTGATGGCAGTTTGGTGCTAACTTGTGCTAAGTTACCACCAATCGTTTAACCATATACTTGGGGTAGAGCAAAAGGTCTAGCACAATTGAACTACTTCCTTTATAGTTGAGTAATATGGGTGAGCTTGACGTTGAGTTGGCAATCACGTCGTAGAGGGATAGGGCTTCGCGGATGTAGTGCCACTCTTCCAAGTCGTGAGCTTAAGACTGCGACTCGTCAGAAGACAGGGTTTCAAGGACACAATGGACCAATATTTATCTTTTGTCGGTTTCCTTGTTGTGTTCTCCTGGTATTGCTTCCTTTGCTTAAGCTCTTTCCAAGGGATGTCAGCGAACATGCGAACGCCGCATGACAAATTACGAACAAAGTGAGATGAAAATAGGGCGCTCTCCTCTTCGTCACCCGACTGAAATGTCACCTGAAGTAGTCTTGACTCGATATAGTGAACTGAATTTGGATGCCGGACGATGAGAAACAAACTAGCATGTTTGGCTTGGATTTTCACTGATTGGCATATGGACTCCTGGTGTTTCAGGCCGTCCAGTAGTTTGTCTTTGATAGAGTTTGCCTTTAACTCAGTCACACTGGAGCATATGATCTTCATCTAGTTCTGCGTCTTCACATTGTTTGTAGTTTTGGATAAGAGAGCGCATCGTTTCACTGGTGGTGTAGTGAGCGGTCTTCTCGTAAGTGTATTGGTATTCGTGTCGTCTCCAACACTCTTTGGAGTAATTGCAGATTTGCCTACTAACGTTGCCTTGAGTTTGTATGCAACGACGGTGGACGCGTAAGTCATCAGATTCTCGGTATTGTTAGATAAACCCGAATTCATTAGAGTATCATGTGACGTAGGCACACCTCCGTGGTCACCGTGGTTTACAGACCCTGGCCCCAGCCCGTTTGTTACTTCTCGTGGCTGTTAGCTGTTAGCTATAAACTGCTTTTGGCTATTCCGTTCCAAGTTTGAACATAAGATTACGTAGCGGGAAACGGGTTCCGCTGCAGCTGGTTCCGATGCAACCGATTTACCAGCAGTCCCAAGCTGCACAATAGCTATCAGTTCGTCTTATTTCTGAGACAGTACGGCGATGCATCGTATGAGTCGATTGCTCATGCACACTCTGTTCAGAACCAAATGGAGTCTGGTGTGCAATGTCGTTCTCTCACTTTCACTACATATAAACTTGCGCACCTGTGATAGAATGTCTTACTGTAGTTACTACATGTTATTCCGGTTCGAATAGTCTTGGAGTACCATTTCCAATTTCGAAGAACTTTTGTCTGTGGCTGAGTGGACCGTGCACATGTAGCTTTCTACGTTGGTGTGTTGCCAGCCATTGCCGAAGCGTCAGTCCCGTGGGCAAATGGCGATCGCCGATCGTGTTGGGACAAGCACACGATATCGCTCGACAGTATCCTACGAATGGGACTACGGCTGCAACCAAAGCCGACTTAGGTCGTTGAACAACCTCTCTGATGTGGACGGTGGCCGCTCGCCTATCGATCAGGTCGGACTACGGCTTGATGGGAAGTTGGGCTTTGATGTGCACGGCAGAATTCTAGCTAGCTTGGTGAGTGTTTGGATAATGTCTACTAAATGAGGTGCAGGTATCAAACGGAGTGTCCGATCATAAATAAATGAGTAATAGATTCTCAACATAGCGAGGCAATCCTGAATATGCATGATCATAGCAATACCAATAAGAACGATCGACAAAGGTGCAATAATGTTACAAGTTTGGCAGTATCACATTGGATCTCTGGCGTGTATTTGCGTGTATGTCAGCATGAATGTTTGCAGTTGCGTCGCTTGGATTTGTAAACATGACGCCGTAGTTGTAATTGGATCACTGAATAGTGCTAAGAACACTATATCGAACGAGGGTACAAATAATGGTATGTACTGGAAAAGTAAGGTTGATGCATGCCTGGATTTCTGTTAAAAACTGGCTGAAAGTACAGTAACGGATGTAACGGTGGTCTTTGTTAGACAACCCTGAAGTGGTAGATCCACTGAAAAGCACTGATAAATCAGAGTTGGATAATTGTAAACATAGTATTGTGTGTGGAGAATTGCGAGTGGTGAGTCCAAAAGCAGAAGAGCGTCTATTCAGTACGACCACATGTGGAAGTATTACGTTAGTTTTCAGACCCAATTACCATGCACATTAACTGTCCTTATATGCACCGAAGTCATTTCATATGGTGCACGCAGGTAGCGCAACGATAGAGTAATACACGCAGCAAAAGCCCTTTAGTTTGCTATAGTAACTGAACTCAGTCGACGCTATTTACAGCTGACTTTTTTATATTAGTTAAAAGTTAGTGAAAGGAAAGGTTTGTACTACAGATGCGCATGTGTGGAGTCTGAGAAAACGGGCTGAGAGTTTGGTTACGTTCGAAAATAAATCAGCTGATCGAACTGCACATGACCTGGGCGCTCAAACGCAGCTTCTACATCTGGTCTAAAGAGATCGTCACTCGCCTCTCCTCTTCCATCATCAGAACAATGCTAAAGTACAGCTTGCTCACCCATTGCTCGACCACACAAGGCGAGGCGCCAAAAATCGAACCGGTCCAATTCCTCGCTACTAAACTCGTCCCCAGGTTGCGGGGTTTATCGTATGAAGACTGGTCGAGAGGCTTGGACTGTGCGCACTGGCTTATCGTCGGTTGTGGGATTTCCTCATCATGACCTACCGCATTCTACATCTAGGTGACTTTCCCATCTTAAGACCACTGCTCCACTTGTGAACACCTTGAAGCGCACGCGGATACAAGTACAAGCTTGTGATTCCAGATCCGAGGCAAGTTCTTTGACCCTGTGCTTTGAACAGAGAGTGTTCAATGTGTGAAACAGTTTGCCGAGTCATATAGTGGAAGCAAACTTGGTGCTGCAATTCAAAACATTGTTGGTTGTACATTTCTCAATGGTTTGATTACATGAACGGTTAACACTGTTAATGATAGATTATATTTTTGAGTGCCATGCACTGTAATTTCTACGTTATTATTACGATAGCAAGCGTAGACTGGAAGAATAATCAATGCTTTGACGGGCCATGGATTATTTTTGAACATTTCTGAACATATGTTGATGGAGTTGTAAAATGTTCATATATATATATATATATATGCGCCTACAATACAGTATTCAGTATTCATACGTAATGAGTAGATGTAGAATGTGACTGACGGCCGATCGTTTACTGTAGCGTGCAAGAAACACATAATTTTTAAATCCCCTTGGCACTATCAGTCCCAAGATGTAAATGCACCCGTAGAAAAAGTTACGATGAGGGTCTCTATACCATTTTAACATCTTGAATGATACATGAAAAACGGATGTGCATCATAATCATGAACTACACGTTTGTTACTATGATTCAGCTCCTATCTACGATTGATTGTTACAGCCAGGACCAAGGGATAAGGGCACGTGAATTTAGCACACAACCTACTGTCTCCAAAAATCAGTAAAGGCCCAAGTAACTTTTAACTCCATCAAATAGTTGGCAGCTATCGGCTGGATTTGTACTAGTCGAGACAAACCCTGCTTATTTTCTTGTGGTAGCGTGCTTGTTAATGGAGGCTGAGGCACACTACATCACAGTATATTAGTCAAGTAATTCTTCTTTAGCACAATTGTTTCGGTGATGTTAGCCCTTGACGATAGGCTAAATGTTGTTGGACCCGGGTTCGAAAGGATCCAAGAAGTTGATTGCTGATACTCTCAAGGTGAGAAAATTGTCATTTAATGGATCACAAGATGTGCGAATGCCTCATCCCGAGAGTTTGTTGCAAAACATCGAACAGTTATACGCAACATTGCACGTCTTTAAAAGGCCATGGAAAGTTCTTCAAGCTAAGCACAAATACACAAAGAGATCTGCAATTCATAACTAATCCCGAGCATTGCTGATGGATCGAGGTAGCCCGTCTGTCAAGGACTTATTCTGTATTCACGTCATCCTACGCTCACGCGTTAACTGCGCTGCTTTTCCGCGTAATCTTGAATACCGAGAGAAAACAATCTCGGGCTTGAACAATGATTTAGACCATCTCATCCTAGGCAAACAATCAGCACAAAAGTCTAAAATGCAAGCAGAGAAGAATTTTTGTGTACAAGCTAAGGCGTTGTCCTCGTATTCCTTTCATTTCGATTAAGTTCAGCAATTGCAACAGCGTAAAAGCAAGATTGTATTTTTAACCCTCAAAGTGAGGTAATAACGCACCTCTAATTTATGGGTGTATAAGGTTATTTTCGAAAGTGGGTTGTCAATTCCTTACCCTTCTGGGATCTAAGACAACATGAGGTTAGCACCGAAAATTAACAGAACAGACTCCGTCAGACTTACACTCATCACATATAAGGCAAACTGACTGGACGGCAATGTGCTCGAACTGAAAAAGCGTTTGGCTTACCGCTCTTCCAGGAGTAGCGGTGACTACTTCGGTCTCCTTGGCTTCCGTCGGTTGTGTGGGTGAATCTTTGCCCTTTTCTGCCACCTCTCTGCCAGGCTCTGGGGACGCACTATGGTTTGAATTTGCAGTACTTCCGGTTGAATGTCCGTTTGTGTAAGTCATCAAAGAATTCTGTCGCCTCGAGCGAAATCTGGGAAGCGTCCCGATTGATGGCGGATCTAAGTCACTGTCCGTGACGCAACGTGTCCGATGCCCAAGTGTTGCGCTGGACGTCAAGGCCGCACAGTTGGCGTTACTGTGCTTACCGTTTAATTCCAGATTGCTTGACGCCAGCTGACTATGCTTCATTTTCTGTTTCGCTTCCAATGCCAATTGGCGAATCTGAGTGACCAACACGTCAACTGGTTGTCCATTTGGAGGATTGCAGCGGAAGAAAAAGCGACCGTCTCCTGTGGAACAACGGCGACCAGCATCGACGCGTAGCACCCCATTTGCCGCTCCAAATCTAACATGATTAGTGAGGAGAAATCAGGCTTGGTAAACACGAATGGTCCAATTTGCACAAGTATGCCATTGCTAAGAATGTACTTAAACATGATGTCAATCAAAAAGTGGAAAGAATATGAAATATATTTGCTATACGCATGCGAGTAGCGCTTCGAGTAACATGCTAATGGCTTCAGTTGTGTATATAAGCAAACGTGTCAGATAATTTCTTCAAAGCTGTAAGGAATAATGACAGACCTTGATAGGTCCTCGTAAATTGGATGATGAACGCCACTTTGAACCACGGAAAAAAATATTGCGGCAGATAGGGTACTTAGCAGTAATCAAATCAACGAGAATTTATCTAGACAAGCAGTAACATCCAGACAAGTGTCTTATCGATCGGGCCCTCAAAGTGCTGAATTAATCCCGTTAAGATGACATGAAGACAGTATAACCGATTAGTGGTGAGTGCAACAAGACAAACTCAAATAAAGATGTCACACGTTTTGAGCACAACAAGGGCAGCATTTTGACTTAATGAGGTTTTACAAACTTGTGTGGAACAGAAGGAGATTGAAGACAATACGCCAAGACACTTCACGTTGGATGAATGGGGGTACACTATCGTCGCTCGTAGCCAAAGCGAGGTATTCTGTTATAATAGCCTATGGCTTATGGCTAAAAAGAAAAATACTGGGGTCATCAGTTGGAATTGTTAAGAGTTAGTAGCCTGGATGGTTATCACGTCATCACTTTTGTATTATGCTGTAAACGTCGCAGTTTCCACAACAGTGAGAGCCATGCACCTTAGAACAACACGACCGGTCGATTTCCATCAGATAAATGGGAACGCTATAGCAAGAATTCTCATTTATCTGGAAAATTACAAAATGCATCGCTTCTTGCAGAACACTGTAATGAGCATCAAACATTGGATAATTTCGTCGTTTAATTGTGTGAAATGAGTGCAGTTAGTAAAATCTTCCGACAATAAACTGCACTCGTCTGTGCGAACTCAAATAGCAAACTCGACAACGCCTACCAATCAGTTATTTTGAAAACACTTTACTATATAATGGAAACAAGTCGTAAAGAGTAGTATTCCTTTTATGCAACAAGGACAATCAGGAAATGTGTAAAGTGAGCTTGTTCCGCAATCCAAGTTCATAATTTGTGACAACTGTTAAATAATATGTCGGTGCAACATAGTTCGGGTTTTAACAAACCTTCCTTAAAGATTCACTGCAAAAGTAGCATCGTATTGGCATTTCATGAAAAAGTGATGACAAGTTGAACACAAAGTTCATTTCATGTTGTCGACAATGAGGTGATGCACGGAAAAATTGCAGAATATTCGTTATTCGTTTTGCGGTATTAAGAGTAAGCTATTGATATTATCATACTGAATGAAATGGTTTGGTGCATCCTTAGTCCAGTGAAAAAAAACAACTCAGTCAAACACTGGAGTCTCAAGGGAAGGAATAGGAGAAATTTGTTCCATTTACTGGAACAGTCTGGATGTCTCCCTTGTTCCGATGCGTAACATATGGCAAAGGTCTGGTGGAATAGTGAACACATGTTCGCCAATAAGTGGTGGAAGATCAGCCGATTCTGTGGGGTGGGTGGAAGGTAATCACAGCCGATGGTGTCCCCACTCTGAGTCATTTTTTGAGTGTATTCTACTCCGTTCGTATTTAATGCGAGAGAAAACTTACCCTCCAAAGCCATACCCTCAGTAGCCAAGACCGTGTTCAAAAGAGATAACCGAGAAGTCAGTAGCGAACGCAATGTTTAATACATGTTATCAAAAATTTAAATTAAATTAGCTTTGTGCCAAAAGTATTTAGTTTATATGAACAGGAAACTGAATAAAGCAGTGATTCAATGGTTTACAGGGGATTCACCGCAGCTAAACCCAGCCAAACGACCAATGACATCTAGAACAACACTAGGCGGCCATTTGTTGTTTTAGGGCTACCAAATCGAATGTACTTCCTCGATCTTTGAGCTCTCAGCCTCAATCCAGAGATTGGTAAGTCTAAACCTCAAACCTTGAATAGAGTGAATGTCAGTACCATCGCAGAATAGCCGGTTTGACGATCTCAAGAAATTTTTCGCTTCCGATTTCCTCATTAGTAGTTCACACTTCCGTTCGTATTCACAGGTGACCTAACGATGCATTAGAAAACGTACATCTCATGGCAAAGCCCGTCTTCATTTGGAGATGAACAATAGATGTGCTCACCGGATTTCTCGTGTTGTCAGCGTAGTTGAATTAACATCGTCATTATCCGATCAGATTATCAATTTTCCTGACCCAAATATGATCAACGTGCTATACAGGTATACACTTACCCGATCATGCCAGTACAAGCATGTCTCAAATTACTGAGTATAAAACTTTCTTTATTCATTTATTGTGATATCCTGGTTGTGAAGGTGCTAACATTTTTATGTTTCAGCTCATCAGAACTATCGCATTGCTCTTGTTAGACAGCTTTTTACCCGTAATTAAACTACTGCTCCCCGATGACTAATTATTCTGTAACGCGACTCGCTCTCAGTCATCCGAAGTGTAAATCATTCAACATAGCAACAACAACAACAACCAACGCTTCAAGAGATGAATTGAATTAAGTTTAGTTCGTGTATTCCCAGTCACCCGCTTACATACATACAGGTGATCGATAAGGGTAACCAACTGGAACCTTCGACAATCGGGGCCATATTCTTCAGTGACCGAATATCGACCTTACCAGAGCAAGCCTAGAATAGTCATGAAGTCAAGTCGTTTACATAGGTTGGGACTACGCTTTAGATAGCAAAGGCTTCAAAAGACCGAAGCAAGGTACAATTAAATGGCCTATTGATGACCTTGAAATATTCACGATGGTTCTCCTTGCCTGGCAATCGAGCATTTGCCGGGAGATCGAACTGGCAGGTATCTTAGGTCTGCTCATCTCTAAGCGTTGGGAATATGCTCCATAATCTCAGTTGATAGTCTACTCTCAGTCCTGCCAACATACCAACCTGCCAACACTGACTGTTAGATCTGTCGGAAACAGCTCATTCATCCCGCTTGGGTATCCCGAGCATACAAACTGACCTTGGAAACGTTAATGAGCACCGTACCATGGCAACGGTGAGAGGATGTCAGCTGCCAAACTACGCGACACCTTGATGCTTCACAGGCTTCATTTAAGTTGCCTTCAAGCAAGCAGACTAAAACTAATCACACCTGGGTAAGTAAACGAAGACGAAAGAGACAGTAGTGTAAACATTACGAAGTTTAAACATTTCACCTCGCTAGGTAAACATGACGGGCTTAAATTGTCAAATAACCTATTAGACGTGCAATTGTTCAGTGTACAAACCGATATACATATACTTACTCCGACGCAATTGACTAACACGTGAAGACAGACCATATAACACAGGCCACTCAAAACCATAAAAACGAATGTTATGAGCTTACAAGTAATAGTTGAGTCAGTGGAATGCTGTAAGATGTAATCAGAGAAACGGATCGCAATTAATAAAGTTACCGGTTCGTCTGTCACCATGAAAGTTATACACGGTGAAGTGTAAACAGAAACTGTAAAAAAAAAGGAAAAATATCACTAAACCAAGGTAGGTGTTAGCAAGAAGGCTGCGGCAAGTTGAAGTGTCGTTTCCAAATACAGATGTTCCTGCACAAGTCGTTAATATTTGCGTAAAGGACCTATCCCCACTTGGTCGTATGCATACTCAAGCCTCTTTATGTTGCTTATTCTTATTACATGCTGTTCACTTTGTGACTCAGCCCTCGTTCGCTTCGGCCAGACTAGATGTAAACATACTGAATGGCGAGTTGAGTAGTATATGCAAAAGTGAAGTGATTTGTGGTTTAGCTTGCAGAAGAACGCCAGCAGCGAACCTGATTATCACCCATTCTGTGGTATCGTCAGATTTAGTGAAATATCTATACGGATGGTAATCATTGGATAGCCACAACGGCCAATGAAGAAGCTGCATATCTAGAGTAACTGATGTATATCACTTTTCAACTCTTCCGTAGATAACGGGCTAGTCTTTTGCTATCTCCACATCTACTGGAAGCAGAGGTGATCTTTTTGGTAAACGGAAAGCAAATGAATGGGGTAAATATTTAACAAATGGCTTTTCAGCTTTGGCTATAGTCCATTGGAAACACTCCATTATATTCGCAGCGACTTGAACTGCGGGACAACGAGCTGCAATTCATACGTTATCCATCAACGCTTCCATGCAGTCCAATTTATACGCCAACGGTGTTTATCATTGATACATTTTTTAAGTGCTTGAACGAGAAAGGAGAAAACCAACGTCCACTCAATCGGAAGGTCAAACAGAAGCTGCCAAGCAGCGTAGCCGAACGCTCCCAGTGAAGTGAGATGTGGGATACCGCCTTGTCAAGGCAAATTTCACAAAAACTTCAAAGTATGGGGGCAGTTCGCAAACACAGTTTTCAGCGATCAGCAGCGGTGAAATTTAATAATGGTACTGTTTAAGATGACACTATTCTAGCAGTCTGAATAAGACACAGCTGAATATGGTAATGGAAAACATAATTACTTTTGACAAAGTGTCCCCAGAGAGGTAAGCAGCAAATAGTTTCCATAAGCAAAATCTTTCAGCAACCAGGGAAGTGTACGTAAGTAGTCAACGCATTTGTACAAAGGTGAAAAGCGGAATTAATGAAATTATTTCGGTGCTGATATTGGGCAGTTAATAACTCAGGCACTATCGTCATTAGAATATGAAGCAGGATAAAATAAGATCCTCACCTCTAAGACCCTCAGCTGCTTGTATGCCAAGGCATAACATCTTCTCAGTAACTTAACTGAGCTCCGTACACCTCAGGTTTGCGGTCCTTGAGACAGTCATGGTAACCGAAACATGGATAAATACTGAGATCACGGATGCTGAGGTAGCTCTATTCGGCATGATTCCCCTAAGAAACGATCGACCCGCCTTAGGAGGCGGCGTTATCCTGGA